TGCTAAAATGGTCGGATTTTTACATTCAAACTGAACCGGGCTTATTTGGCTTATTTCATCAGGACTTCTTAAAATCAAGAGAACATTATACTCTATGTCTTATGTTTGAATGACATTCCGAAATGAAATACCACCAACATAAAACAAAAGCAATGCGCAAACGTTTTAGCGGACATTAAACTTTATACAGTAACCTGCAGGTACTACTGGGCAATAATTGTGAAATTTACCTGTCAGTTATCCTTCTGCAGACAGCTATCTTTAACTATACGACGTTATCGAGCAATCATTTGACGAATTAGTGAGTAGCAGAGCCACACTGACCGAATTTTATTATCAATACCAAATCATGCCACTGACCGAGCAAATTGTAGATGAAGGATGAAAAATGAAATGTAAAATCATAAGGTTTAAAAGTACAGTTTCATCTTTTGATACTTTTTGATTTGTATTTATTTGATATTTAAATATAGTTGAAAAACTCACTGCTCAAACCAAGATGTATCTTAACCTCGCGAAGATGATGCATTTGACGGTTTTACCCATGATTATTTTTATATTGCCTGCATTCTTGTAAAAAAATAGGACCTTGGAGATCACATTCCGAGGAATCAAATCAAAAAGCGTTTTTAATGTGCGTCCTTTTACCTGCGTTTGAAATTACTCATTGAACAGTTTAGTAATGTGATTTCTAAAGATCTTTCCAGTAAATTTATAATTAACCAGAATGTATTATTCCAGAACCATGGGTCGGTTAGAAACCCTATTAACAGAGCTTGGACAAATGTGTATTTCATATGATGTAAATGTGTTTGTAGTCTTTTAGTCCAACCGGAGGACGGCGGAATTCTGGTAATTCGTAAACGCTCGTAGGAAAGTCAAAAAGAAACCTTTCTACAAAACAATCCTGCGTAATCTGCAGGGCACCGAACCAATTTTTACGGTCTGAATTTTTAATCTCTTGTATAAAAGACAAGAGGTCTGTTGTCACAATTTTCTAAAGTCAAACTAAAAGTCAAACCGTTCATTTTCTAATAGCAAGACTTCCGTGTCAAATACTGTAAAACCTCACACACAAATAAAAAAGTGTAAACACAATTACACTGTAGTTTCAGTTTTGTATTTGGGGAAAAAAAACATGTATGAGAAATGCACATCTTGCACAACACTAGTGTGTTTTGTGATTTTAAACATGAAAGGTAAGTATTATTGCTGGAATAACACGATAGCACAAATGGGTATCTGCGATTGTTACACTGAGCTTTATGAAATGACTGGATTTGTTCGGCTCCCTTGATGTGAAATTCCAACGCATTTCAACATAGACACATCACAATTCTAATCTCGCAAATTCCTAAAATCATCTTGAGAAGGTAAAAAAAAACAGAAACATTTTCATTATAATTGATATACAGTAATGAAGTTTCAGTGACGGACTATATTGCCACGGAGCCCTGTTACACTTTCTAAAACAAACGATTAACAATGCAACCACTGGTACTAGGTAAACACGTAACTGTAGAAAGATCACGTGTATCATTGTCCCTCTTAGTCATAAAGGACAATATCAGATTTCATCACAACCTCTGTAGTACAGAACAATATCTGAATAGAAAGCATGACAGGGAAAAGGCAATGGAAGCTGTCAGGTCAATTTCTCAGGTGTTATTAACAAAACCATAGTTCAATGCAGCGTTGCTACTGTACGGAAGGAATTGTGTTCACCCTCTCTTCAATGAGTTAATTCTTTAGAGGGGCACTTCCATTGGTGAAGATGAATGAATGTTCAACAAGCCTATAAGAGCTACCACTGCCACATTGAATTTTGCTTAATCATCCAGGTGGATGCTGCACACTGGTGGTGGTGGAGGGGAGTCAAAATTACCTTTGAGTGGAGTGTCCAGAAAAGCGCTATATAAGTGTAAGCAATTATTATTATTATTAATACAGCCCATTGACTTCTAACATTAATGGAGATTGGGAGAGCCGTACTTAAGCGCTGTAAAAGAGGAGGCACTTGGGTTCAGAGGTGGAAAAGAGGAGCACAAGGTTTAAGGGGATAGGGGATTGTGTATTTCAGAACAGATAGCCAATAAGTGCTTGGAAACTAACACTGCCTTGGGACAATATTGGCATGGCTGTTCTAAGACTTTGATAGTTTTGTCGGATACTGGGGCCACATTTATAAAACCATTTCACTGCACTACTTATTGCCACTCGTTTTTTAAATGCATGCTCCCCGTCTTTCAAACTAAAAGTAAGAAAAACGTACATATATTTTAGCAACTCTTAAATTCATATCCTGAAATATTTGTGTAATTCCCCGACCTTTCCTGTGTTGTTCTCTCATAAAGAAAAAAACAGGTGTGAGCTCAGCAGAATGGCGAATATGGCTTGTAATATGGTATGTTACCATATTATACCATTTTGAAATGGTACAGGCAGAGTTCAAAACTAAGGCTTACAATTTCGGCAAAGAAATTCGAGAGATCTGAAGACACAGAATGGGTAACGCTAAAAGTAAATGAAAACCCAGAAATCAGTGGCCCCAAGTGTTTTAATAAAACGGAAAAAAAAACAACAAGATTACAGAAAACATTTTGGAAAACGATTAAAAAGAACAGAAAACAGTTAAAGGAAAGGCATACAAACACACTTAAAATAATCTAAGACTGGAAAAGAGAAAAGAAAATGGAAAGGGAAAGTAAAATTAAGTGATTTTATTTGTATTATAACAGAAGAGGACAGAAACTGATGCAAACTTCTGTCTCAGAGCTAATAACTGAGAACTCTGAGAAGGTGTAAAGGGAATACCTAATGTGTTAAAGTAAAATTTAATGGGAAGTGAAGTTTAATCTGCTAACAGAAAGCACTTTTTCCCCACAGTGGGTCTGGGGTATCCAGAACAAACTGCCCAGCTTTGTTGTATGATTTAGCAGAAAGAGAACCCGTTCATGAGCCAAATGTATTTTCAATCTGGTTTGAGAAACAGTTTTGAAGTCCTAGTGCTCTGCCTAGAAAAATATGTGGTAGTTATAGACTTTGGAAAATGAAAACATGCCCACACTACCTTTATCATGCACATAAACACATTGACTATTAAAATATGACCATAAAGGGAATCGCGATTGTCTCCATCTATAGATGATTGTTGCTGTGTATTGCAGGGGTGGGAGTGTCCAAGCCTGCCAGGTTTTTCGGGGTTTTCCAAAAACAGTGGCCCCTGTGGTTTGTTGGGCGTTTGGGAACCTGCAGTGTTGTTAACAAGAACTGCATCAGTCCTCTTTTGAAAGCCCCAGCTGTGCTGCTGGTGATGAGAACATGCCGCTTGAAAACGAGAGCATGAATTTCAGAAGAGCACACATGCGAGGAATGAAAAAAAAAGTACTTTATTTTCTTCTGTGTTGGTGTCAGAGTAGAAGCTACAGTATGTTTTGAACACATTGAGAAATCGTGATTTCAGATGGAACAGATAAAACACAAAGTATTCAAATAATTTTTGTGTTTTGTTAATATCAATCAACTCTATGAAATAAATAATCACCTGAAATGACTAAAGTATTTTCCTCATACCTTTGCCTCCAAAATCTAATGAAGATAACAATATTTAAAAACATATTTTACACTGGATATCATATATTATTTTGTAATTTTCACTTTTTAACATTTTAAACAATGTTGGTCATCAGCACTGATGCTGTGCGATTGGCTGTGTTTCTAGTAACATTTCTCTTTATCACTAAGTACATGGAAACATATTGACACTATAGGAACATCGTGTATGCACTTGATCACTAGTAACAAGTTTGACAAAGAATGTATCATGCATTTAAATAACTTGCACATCTTTGAAATGCACAGGGCTACCCCCACCTCATCCCCGCTGGGCAGTCCACAAGCAGCAACATTGGTTCACGTTTTATTAAAACCTGACACAGCTGGATAAGAGGGCATTTTCTCTAGTGCTGCCACTTATGCATCTGTTAAACTGATAATCCCGTGACACTTTACAGTTGTTTTCAGCTCCACCGGGATCTTAATAGACATGCCCTATTTCCATGATCTGTTCCAAACTGACATTTATTGAGGCCCTTGCAGTGCTTTTATCTAAAGCCAGAAATGTATTTCCATCTGAACAACAACACTATTTTGTTTTAGCATGGCTTTGCTCTGTGGTCATGGTATCATGTAAGTGAATTGTAGCATTTGTTTTGCTGTGCAGTTTTTTTTACATTGTTATTTTTCACAAGCATATGAATGAACAAGCATTTCTTTGGGTCCCCCTGCAAATGTGCTGCCACATCAGATTGAAACTGGATATTCTGTCCGTCTTCGGAAACTGCTTCCTTAGGGAGTCCACAGTGGACCAGAGCCTGACCCAGTAGGCACGGGGAACACAGGGGGCCAACGAACTGGACAGGACTCCAGTCCATTGCTGAGCCACTGCACACACATACGGGGAATGGCCAAAACGCACGCCAATCAATATTGTCCAAAATAGAGCAGTTCTATGGACTGTGGGAGGATACTGGAGCAGCCAGTGCAAACCCATGTGGACACTCTCAGAACAAGCGACCTTCACACTGAAGGCTCCATCTTTAAGAAGGAACTGAGTACAGGACTCGAGAGCTGCAGGGCAGCAGCCTGAACCGTCCTGGCACTCTGTTACACGAATCTGAAACTCTTTGGTGAAAGTGACCAACGTTGGTTTTAATCACACGTGCATCAGGTAAAGGAGAAGAGGTGGGTGGTCTGTCGGCTAGGTTACTGCCAGCAAAGATCTGATGCACCAGGTTTTTATGTCATCGTGACCATGACAAGGATTCAAATTTTCAAATAAAAATGGAATTCACTGTCTAATTGTTTCAAACTTAATTCAGCCAATGGGAAAATGATGCAACGCAACAAGCACTGTCAGATCATTTTGCTTTACCTGATACAAAATGATGTTTTGTATAACTGAATCATAACAAAGTTTCACAGATGGATAGAAATCTTACCTGGAAGAATCTTACCTAGACACCTAGATACCAGAGGACTCTGTCCAAGATGACATGGAGGCTTGTCCTGCTCTCTGTGCTTGCTTACATGACAACAGGTCCTCTGCATGGAAATGAAGTTGGCCAAGGTGACGTGCTGTTTTAACGTACAGGTAACACAAACAGTTATTGTAAGTTAGCGCATCTGGACACCAGATATTTAGGACCTGGCTCCAAAGAACAACATTTTACTAAAGCTGTAACAATATAATGTGATTCTATACAGAGTGATAAGAAAGGAGGTTCAGTATATCAATGCTGTTCAAGTAATTGGGGTTCATGGTGTTCTGTTTTTCTAGTATGTTAAAGAAAAAAAAAGCAAATGCTATTTTATCCATTTGCAATGGTTTCCAATTCGATTTTGAAATCCAGTTTATAACTGATGCTCTATTATCTTGTTATCTGTTAATGTCATTAGTGTCTTTTGTACATGATTCACAGTAGCTCATTTCTTATTAAAGCAATACTGATTTAGCCGATTTACATTGAGTAATATATTAATGACTAGACTCTATGTACACTATGTCTGTATGTGATGCTCTTTGTGTTTGAGAGTGGACAGAGGTTTTGGAAACATGTCTTTTCTTGCTTGTCCAATTTTCAAAATCGAGGAGCTCCCTTTTTGGAGCTTGGTGCTCTTGTTGGATAATAACTCTCATCCGTCTCTCTCTCTCACTGCAGCAGAAACAGATCTGGTTGTCCGGTCAGACTACAACTAATTGGTGTGAAGCAGAAGTTCGGGAAGAGGTCAGGTTGTAATTACACATTTCAGCTCTCTTGCGTATAAAGACTTGCCTGCTGTCCGCAGCTCTACGCCCATCTTTCCTAACACCCCTCCCTTCACCCCATCTTCACCCATGCAGCAGCCTGCCCTTGGTTACCTCATGGCCAGGGCTGCCATTTCCTCAGTCAGGCGAGTTAGTGCTTAACTACCCCTTTATATTTGTCGGCTCGTTTCGTTCTGGTTAGACGTTTAGGCAATTAGAAGATGTTGGCGTTCTGTTGAAAGCTTCTGCCTTCCCTCTCCTGGCGTCGCTGGATCCTGGCCTGTCTCGATATTATTTATTTGGAGCTCTCTACCGCTCGGATCCATGGTGCCAGTGGGGGAGCGGTGATTGCTTGGAGTACTGCTGTGTGTGCGGTCAATGCCTTGTTGCATGTACTGTAGCTCTCTGTCTGCATTTTAGGCGTCTCTGGATGCAATGCTACCAACCCTATTAGCGCTAGCAGATGCACATTACTGAATAATAACTCCTTGATAAGGAGGAACAATTGGAGTCATCCTGAGATTTGAGATAAAGATTAATTGCAGTAGCCTAATATAATTAAACAAACTTTTCGGAGTCAAGTTAGCTAGTTGCAGGTGTGATTAGCAGATTCAGATGGCTTGATCAACATATACGGTAGATGCTCCTAGCTGAACAGCGTGTGAGTTGCTTGTTCGTGTTTAACAATGGTAATGGTTTTAGCAGAGCTTTAACTATAGCCACCCATGGTCAATAACAGATGAATCATTATCATCTTATTATAATAAGAAAGATTTGTTTTATGCAGTACCTAAAACCCATATTTAAAAGAAGTTTTAAAAGCCTCTTAAAACTCTTAATATACTGTATATTGTGCTCTGTGTATGCAAACACCAATGCTTGTTTAAAGAACTGGAATTGAAATATTTTTGTCTGCTTTTTCACACTTTTTGTAAATAGGTGCTATATATAAAACCATCCAGTCAATTGGTATTACCCTGCTTTCAGTGAGTGCTGGAAGAGTTTTATTACCAGTCTATGAGTAACATCTCGTGTTTCATTAAGTTGTTCAGTTTTGCTTGGTGCATGCAGAAACACAGATATTAAACTGGTCCTTTTCTCTTCAAATTGTCTCAATTCTCAAACTAAAGTTTTGGCTCTTATTTTAGGACAAGTGCTTTGCGATCAGTAGCTACTTCAGAATCTTATAGACACCTCTATCAGAGTGTTAATTTTGCTCTATTTGTTTATTGCTTGCAGTTCAAGCTGTAGTTTTCTTTTTCAATGGTAAAAAGAATAATTGAATAAAAGATTAAAACATGCACCAGGTTTTTAAGACATTGATTTAGAACAATGTTAATCTTTCGCTCATAAAGTTTCATTTTAGCTTGAGATAACACATGTCTAACACATTTTAAAAAGACTTTTAAAGGATTTGCTGCTGCGTATAAAGCTGTAAATCATAAATTATTAATTTAGAAAAGTACAAAAGTTCAGTGAGAGCACAAAGCAACGTTTGTCGTAAGAAAGATATTAAATAGATTTCAAGTGAAATCATACAAATTCTTTTCATTCCATGCATTTAGAAACGTTTGGAATAAACTTATCTGCACGCTTCTGATGAAGTTTGTTTTAAAAGCAAACAAGAAACACTAATACAATTTGGCAACTGATGCTTGTACTATGTTTCACAAACCTTGAGGTGCCCTGCTTTTGAACTCTATTCTTAAATATGATTGTTCAGTTGCAGACAGGATCGTCTGAAAGGCAGTGTAGTTTGTCTAAATACATTAAATACAAATGTGGCTGAATACATAAGAAATCAAAGTTTTTTAGTTTTAGAATTTTTTGTAGTTTTTGTGGGCATTCGTCTTAGTGCATTCTAGTTTTGATTAAAAATATTCACTTTAAAAATTTGTACACGTCATTTGTATTTCTACAAAATGGGACATCACTAGAAGGGAATGAATACTTCGGCAAAGCACTGTAAAATAATACAATAGAACAAATGAAAAGCAATTTCAACATAGTTCAGATAAATAAGACGGAGTGTTCCGAAACTGTTTTCAGTCGAGCTCTTCTAGTAGGAGACTATGTTTGGGGCTACCAGTTAAAAACTGCTGCCCCTTTTGCCCCTGAGTTCATATTGTACAACACTTGTACAATGGTGCATTTTATATTGTATTGAAAGTGAATGAGCAGAGTGCACTGTGGAACTCAATGGCTCAGAGTGTCTCTCTTTTGGCACTGTCTGATGATTATATGCAAGATAGATTAGAAAGCACATGGATTCCTGTCTTTGTTGTTTATTATTCCAATGTCTTCAGCAAAGCTCAAGTAAGAGTTTAGCTTCTGTTTCTCTACTACTTGCCTTA